AATGAAGACACAACATACCCAAACTTATGGGAGACTTTGAAAGCAGTGCTAAGAGGAAAGTTCATAGAACTAAGAGCTCAGATAAAGAAACTGGAGTATAGTCACACTGGAAAATTAACAGCACAACTGAAAACTCTAGAACAAAAGGAAGCAAACTCACCTCAGAGGAGCAGGCACCAGGAAATAATCAAATTGAAGGTTGAAATCAATAAGGTAGAAACTAGGAAAACAATACAAAGAATCAAAGTAACGAAGAGTTAGTTCTCTGAGAAAATCAACAAGATAGACAAAAACTTACCAAAGGGCAGTGTGTGAACATGTAAATTAACAAAATCAAAAATGTGAATGGGGACATAACAATGGAAATTGAGGAAATCCAGAGAATTATCAGGTCATTTTTTGAAAACCTGTACTCCACAGAATTAGAAAATGCAAAGGAAATGGACAATTTTCTGGATAGTTATTACTTAACAAAATTAAATATAGAACAGATAAGCGATTTGAATAGACCTATAACCTCTAATGAAATAGAAGCAGTCATCAAAATTCTCCTAACCAAAAAAAGCCCAGGGCTAGATGATCACTGTGCAGAATTCTACCAGAAATACAAAGAACAACTAATACCAATTCTCCTCTAAGTATTCCACAGAACAGTAGCAGGAGGGTCTTTGCCAAACTCTTCTTAAAAGGTTTCAATACCCCAGTAACACATAGACACAATTAAGAAAGAGAACTACAGATCAATACCTCTCATGAACATTGATGCAGAAATACTCAATAAAACACTGGCAAATTTAATCCAACAACACATCAAAAAACTCATCTACCATGACCAAGTAGGCTTCATCCCAGGCATGCAGGGATGATTCAACATACGACAATCCATCAACGTAATCCACCATATAAACAAGCTGAGATACAAAAATCACATGATCATCTGACTAGATGCTGAAAAGCCTTTGACAAAATCCATCACCCCTTCATGTTAAAGGTCTTGGAGTGATCAGAGATAACAAGAACATACATAAACATAATAAAAGCTACATACAGCAAACTAACAGCCAACATCACACTAAACAGAGAGAAACTCTATGTGATTCCTCTAAAATCATGAACAAGACAAGGCTCTGCCCTCTCTCCGTACCTCTTCAATATTGTAATTGAAGTTCTAGCTAGAGCAATAAGATAACAAAAGGAGATCAGGGGGATACAAATCAGAAAAGATGTCAAACTTTCACTATTTGCATATGATATGAGAGTTTCCATAAGGATGTCTGTTCCACTATGTTCATAGCAGGCTTATTTGTAGTAGCAAGTACTTGGAAGCAATCTAGATGCCCCTCAACTAAAGAGTGGTTAGAGAAATTATGGTACATTTACACAATGAAAAAAACCACAATGGTTTCTTGAAATTTTCACCAAATGATGGCACTAGATGAAACCATCCTGAGTGAGGTAACCCAGTCACAAAAAGAGAAACATGGTATGTACTCATTCATATGGATTTTAGACATGGATCAGGGGAGTACCAGCCTACAGTCCCACTGTGTGAGAGTCTGGGAAACAGGCAGAGCCCTACATTATCTAACTTATCTATGCATAGTTATCTATGCATCATACCCCAGAGCAAAGGAATGGGCTACAATCCCAAGTGCAGATTGGGAGCATGGAGGGAAGGGATAGTGAGCTGGGGAAAAGAGAGGGGGAGAAGAGGAGGGAAGAGGAGGACATGGGAGAGCAGGGACTTTGATTTGGGGGAAGAATAGAGGAGGATGAGAGATACCATAGTAGAGGGAGTTGTTATAGGTTTTAGGAGTGATCTGGCACTAATGAGATTTCCAGAGATCAGTAAGGATGGCACCAACTGGTAAACTAAGCAGTAGTGGAGAGGCTACCTTAAATGCCCTTCCCTGATAATGAGTTTGATGACTATTTTATATGCCATCCTAAAGCCTTGATTTAGTAGCTGATGGAAGCAGAGGCAGACTACCACAGCTAAACACTGAACTGAACCCCTGGAACCCAGTTGCAGAGAGGGAGGAATAATGGCCAAAGGTCCCAAGAATGGACTGGTGAAACTCACAGAGACAGCTAACTGGGACAAGTGGGATATCTTGTACCACAGACTGATGGCTGAGAGGCCAGCATGGAACTGATCTAGACCCACTAAATTTGGGTGTCAGTACTTGGGAAATCTTTGGGTCATCATGTAGTGGATCATTATTTATCCGTGGCATACAAATGGACTTTGAGGAATTCTCTCTCAGCCTGGACACATGGGGGAGGGCCTAGGCCCTGCACTGGATGAAATGATAGACTCTGGAGATCCCCTATGGTGTACCTCACCCTCCCTTGGCAGCAGAGTGGGAATTGGGTGGGTGTTGGTGGGGCTGGTTGGGCTGGGGAAGAGTGGAGGAAGAGGAAGCTGGGATTGACATGTGAAGCAAGCTTGTTTCTAATTTAAATAAAAAGGAAGCTGAAAAAAGAAAATAAAAAGTATGAAAATAATAATAGTAATATTATAAATAATATTATTGATAATATATAACAAAAGCAAACAAGCCAGAACAGTGCAAACAAATTACTCAGAATTAAATAATTAACTGAACAGAATAAAATAGCCAAGATAAAAGCACATGATATACATATGTACTGGGAGATACAATCCATCCATTCATTCATATTGAGAACTCATGTAAACAGAATCAGAAACCATAACATATAGTATCTGACAAAGCATTATGAGACAAAAAGTAAAAGCTAAAAAAGTAAAACCTTCCAAGCATATCATTAAGTTTATTTGATACTGGCCATGGGATCCCAATGGTGAGAAGATAAATACACACAATAGACACAAGCCCTCTTCTCTAACCCAGGAGCTTTCTCCAACTGATCATGGTTTGCAAAGAAAAAGCTACCTTTATCAAAAGACTTATTTTTGATGGGAATGTAAAGGTTGACTCTATACCAAGTTCTACAAGATAGGAAAAGTAATTTTTGTATCAGAAGAAAGTTGGCATTAGAAATATCACTGGATTCTTTATTGTACAGTCTTTTTTCAGAATGTAATCATTATTGGGAAATGTGTGTTTTAAGTCATTAAGTTGGAGGAATAGTTTATGATGCAGATTTTTTCACTTGTGTATTCATTTGTAGTCATACTTTATGTCATGGACTTTCTCATGCTGAGGGAAAATTTTCCATATGGCATAAATATTTAAAGAAATGATGATTACTTCTCTTCAAGCTTATTTACTTTCTTATTCAAGAATCACATTTAAATGATGCCAAGCAACAAAGAATTACATGAGTAGCAATAAAATGTTGTGATTGATTTTTCTACTTAATGCCCTCTCTAAGAGTATACCAGAGTAATTACAGCAGGAAGAACCCAACACATTGCCTTTATAAAATACGTACACAGACAAGCCACAGCGGTAACCACTATGGTCTGCATACTGTAGCAAATGAGTGGTATGAAATTACATATATGTTGGCTTAAAAGTATTAGCATCAACATCAGTGTTGCTGCTATCACAGCCTGGTAAATATTTTTATATACCAAGTCAGTGAGATAGAGAATATACAAAAATATGACACTATATTAGTTACTTTTCTGTTGCTATGATAAAATAAGACAACTAAAATAAAGTTAAGGAGGGGAGAGAAGGAGTTGATTTTGGCTTATTTTTCTACATGGATAATAGTCATTATGGTACATAACTTCATGGCAGCAAGAAAAGGAAGGGAAGAGATCACATCATGAATTACAAACAGGAAGCAAAGAATGCTAACTGGAGGTGTGCCAAGAATATAAACATCCAAAGACTGTTCCCAGTTATGTACTTCTTTTATAAGCCAAATATAAACCTTCCACAAACAACACTACCAACTGGGGAAAACATGTTCAAATACCGAGACTTATATGGTATCATTTCCCCTGCAGACCTCCACTGGCCCAGTAAGTTCATCATACTGAAATTGCATTTAGTTCATCCTAAAAATTCCCTCATAATCTTGCACAGTCTGAACACAATTTAAAACTTTAGAGTCCATATCTCCTCAGGTGGTCCTCAGACCTCCTGAAGTCTGAACCCAATCCCTACTTAAGACATCTCCAGAGTTAGGATTCTCCTGCTTTGTATCTGTCAGCTACCATCTTCACTGTTCTGATCTCAGACAGCTTCAAGTCTGAACATGGTCTTCCAACCAGATGTTCAAGCCAGAAACCTTAGTGCAAATTCATTACCAACTTCCCAATCATAAAACACTGCTAGCTACCTTGCACACCACTGGGCCTTTGACCTTACGGGAGTCAGGCACCAAGTTCTATTTAAGAGAGCTCCAAGTTTCAGGTTTTTTATCTTTTGTTTTAGTGTGAGAGAGAAAAAAATGAACTTGAAGTTGGTTGGGAAAGGAGGGGTATCTTGGAGCAGTTGGGGGAGGGGAGAACAGAGATTAAAAATATATTGTATGAAAAATTAAAAATAATAGAAGTTATAAAAAGAGGTATCTCTAGCTCTAGTTCATCCATGTGACACAGATTACTTACCTGTGCTCTGTGGTATAATACCATCCAGGATTAATAGTCCTACAGTTGCTTGGCTCAACGGCCTCCAGTCATAACCAGGCCCACACATTCTCTGCTCTGGTCCAACCTGATAAGTCTTATGTTGCTTGAAACTTCCCCAGTTCTCAAACATGCCCCATGTCTGATGAACAGGGCCTATATCTAGCCTGATTAAACAACCCTTTGTCTTTCCAAAGTCCAGATTCTGAGATGCTGGCGTCTACATTTACAGACACACTACCAATCAATGAATGTCCGGCTCTCATAAAAATGGAATGAAAGGTTATACAGTGTGCCTTGCCCCATTGACCTTTCCTGTAGAAGACATCTTCTCTAATGAGAAGTATATAAATGGACCACAAGACACAGCATTTAACAGAATCATAAACTTAATTTAAAAATCTGAGGAGGGCTGTCTGCATGCTGGTGGATGTGTGGCAACAGTCAGTACGTCCTGCTGCCCACCTTCGTGCCCGCTGCGCGCAAGGCCACCGCCGCGATTATTTTTCTTCACGGATTGGGAGATACTGGGCACAGGTGGACAGAAGTCTTTGCAGGTATCAGAAGTTCTCACATCAAACACATCTGTGCGTGTGCGCCTATTAAGCCTGGTACATTAAATATGAATATGGCTATGCCTTCTTGGTTTGATATCATTGGACTTTCACCAGATTCTCAGGAGGATGAATCTGGAATTAAATAGGCTGCAGAAAATGTAAAAGCTTAGATAGATCAGGAAGTGAAGAATGGCATTCCCTCTAACAGAATTATTTGGGGAGGATTTTCTCAGAGAGGAGCTTTATCTTTACACACTGCTCTTACCACACAGCAGAAACTGGCTGGGGTCACTGTGCTCAGTTGCTGGCTTCCTCTTCAGGATTCGTTTCCACAGGGTCCTATTAATAGTACGAGTAGAGAGATTTCTATTCTCCAGTGCCAGGGAGATTGTGACCCTCTAGTTGCCCTAATGTTTGGTTCTCTTACTGTTGAGAAACTAAAAGCATTGGTAAATCCGTCCAATCTAACCTTAAAAATCTATGGAGCCATGATACACAGCTCATGTCAGCAGGAAATGATGGATGTCAAGCAATTCATTGATAAATTCCTACCTCCAATTGATTGACCTCACTAAGAGGCTTTGAGTAGATGGTCACCAGCATCACTATAGTAGAGTATAAACTTTCCCCCATGCCTGATCATAAAACTTCTAATGTTCACAGTGTTAAAATGTTTTGCAAATTCATACGAGTGATCATGGAAATGTATGATTCTTTAAGTTCCTATCCATGTATCTGTATTATGCAATCCATATTAAAGTATTAAAGTGAGTGAAGTGAAGCAGCTAGTTTCTTTCTGTCAAATTTATTCAACAAAATAAAATCCAAGATCAAAGTTTTATTACATTGTTTGAAAATTACTAGTATGCTCACTGAAATTTGTTCAGGTCTAAACAAACTTTTAAGATCATCTGTAAGTGATGTGTAAATGCTGTGAGTTAGGCTATGGTTTTACTCCTCAACTCTTTAGTCACAATGCACTGTCTGTATTTTATATGCATGTTCATATATCCATGACTGAAATATATAAGAATTATATGGTATTACATTATTCTTGATACTAGGGATAATGGTTTTTTAAATGTCAGAAAAGTAATACTGTTCTCTCCAATTAATGACCCTTTTGTTAGGGGACCAGGCTGTTCTTTTCCTTCTACTTAATTTTTCTCCATTCTAGAAAAAAAAGGTTTTTAATTGTGTTTTCATAGAAAACCGAAATTGCCATTCTGCCGTTAAAAAACATGTCAATACATACTATAATTGACATTCTGAATCACAGACATATGTTAATTCAAATCTAGGTAATGTGAAAAGAAATCAAACATTACTTAAGAACTGCACCTCAGTCCTACTTTAGACTACAGAAGCTTCAGTCCTGGTAATACATCTGTTTTTATTTCTCTGTAAACGCAAAACAAAACAAACAAACCTTAGAGGGTAAATAATATCTTGGCATATTCAAAAATAAATATTTAAGAGCAGTTTTTAAGTCTAACTTCTAAAACAGTTACATCTTATAACAGACTTTAAGTTTGCATTTTCTGTACATATGTTATGTTTAAAACCAAATAGTGTTCAAGATGAGCAATCAGAAACTTTTATTTTTATCTGGTAACTAATTTGAAATTTTCATCTTAGGTTTAGACATTTTTGAGAATTAGTTTCCTGTACAAACATTAAAACAACAATCATCTGATTTTAAATCAACTATTCAAAATACTGGTGAAAATTATTAAAATGAGTATATGGATAATAAAGACTGACTAGAACCTATATGCATATCTAATTATATATACATTTATTATATATTTTATTAGATTATTATATATAACATAGCTACCACACAATTGAATATGTTGCAAAAATCATGGTCATTTCTGAATTGTTGCTTTTTCTTCTGTTTAACTGACAGTGACTTTGCTAAGAAGCATCATTATGATTGGGTGCTAACTGATATGGAGATCATTTGCTATGGACTAGATAGGAAGTTAATAATGAAGCTATATGCTTATATCTCAACTTAAAACACTTTCAAATAATCATTTACTATTTTGCTTTACTTTGAAGACCTTAAAATTACATCAGTTATACCATCAGTAAAATTTTATTTGTGGTAAGAAATATTCCATTGAATTCTTGTGCAATAATATGGGAATATGTCATGTTTTTCACAGTTTCTTTCTGTGTGAAACTAAACTGAATTCTGGCGTTTTTGGAAAAATTCAAGGAGAGTGATGAAAACACAGGCATCTCAGTGAACTTCAAGAAAATAAGAATTTGAGTGATTCCCAATAAAGCACAAGCATAAAACTGAATAAAATGGCAGATGTATCTGGATACAAAAACTTAAATAAATTAAGAGAAATACTGAAAAATGGAAGCAGAAATGAAGATGGAACTGAAGAACTTTATAGCGTAACTACAAAAGTATGGGGGAACCTCATAAATAGAACAGATTGAGTAGAATATACAAGATCAGGAGCCAAGAACAAATGAGAAGAATTAGGTCATACAAGCAAAACATATGTTGCAAAGAGAAATGTGTGTGTGTGTGTGTGTGTGTGTGTGTGTGTGTGTGTGTGTGAGATAGAAAGTAACCCCTATCAGAATACAGTCTGGTTTCCAAACAGAAACTTTGAATGCCAGAAGAGCTAGAATAATGTACTCTGATTTCTAATAGACCATGGAAGTGAACCTAGACTATTGTATCCAGAAAAAACTACCTGTCACTGTTGGTGAAGAATGACTTTCAATGACAAAAACAAGCTAAGAGGGTTCATGTACACAAAACAAACCTTAGAGAGAATACTGATAGCATATTTTGAAATTATAGTTACTTGAACACAAAGTTCAAATGGTAAGAAAAACAGCAAACGACCAAACAAAATCAGTAAAATTACTGAGACCCACATTCACAGTACAACAATAAATTTAAATGTTAATGATCACATAAGACATCTCTGGCTGTATTTTTCTTAAGTTGCCAGTAGAATAATGGTACACTCTTGTAACTGAAGGGCTTTTAGCTGACTTCTAATGTGGAAAGATAATACTGTCATCAGTGGCATGTGGGAGCTAGCTCTGGAGTGTCACCTCTGTCTTTATTACCAGCCTGTGGTGACCATCTATCTCTGAACTCCTAATGTAACTTAATTGCTTTCCACAGTCAACTGGCATTATACTCATTGTGAAAAACGTATCATGATAGCCTTTTTTGGAACACAAAATATTAATGAGTTTCTCTGTTTTCACTTCTATGAGACTGCATTTACTTCCTCTACCTTTACACAAAACAATTCTGAAGGTTTATTTCATTATATTTTGAGCATTGAAATGTTCATATTTTTCAGGTATCATTACATGAAAACATTCTAAGGAGCTACCAGAATATGAAATTCTAATTATATAAAAGTACCCTATTATTTGTTATTGAAATGCAGACATATACATACACAGGTGAGCATGAATGTACTTAAGCACACACAATAGACTTGAAATACTTACATCTGGATGCACTTCCTATATTCGTGCCAGTACATATTGAACATGCTTTTCACCTCCTCCATTACAAAGTTTCTCATTTTAGAAAACTACACACTTATTTAATTAATTTATACTGACCCATAGTCACATCTGTTAGTGTTGTGGCAGGGATATAAGGCGATATAAATCATAATAAAAACACTATGTTTCCGATAAAGTATATTAATTAAGCCTCTTCATGACCTTTATACAATGGGTTACAACATACTTCTTGTCAAAACTTCAAAACATGAAGTTGTGCCAGCCATTGGTGGCACAGCCTTTAATCCCAGTACTGGGGAGGTAGAGGCAGGCGAATCTCTGTGAGTTGGGGGGCAGCCTGGTCTAAAGAGCGAATTCCAGGACAGCCTCCAAAGCAATATAGAGACACCCTATCTCGAAAAAATTGCAAGCAAGCAAACAAACAAAAAAACCCATGAAGTTGAAGTTGTTATTCCAATGTGTTTTTCTGTCCCTCCCAAGTATAGCAGTAAAGAGTGAGTTTGCCTCAGATTTTTCATTAAAATTGGCTACTGTTATTTGTTTATATATCTGTAGAGAAAAACATATTTTTTGCCACATGATGTTTGTCCACCTTGTAAAGCTTGTGTACCATGTGTGGCTTGCCCTTGTGATTGGACTGTGTCCTCTTGTGGCTCTCCTTAGCCGTCAAAGTATGAGTTGTCAGATACCCTGAATAAAATTGGCTGTTTCATGACACTTCACTCCTCCTCATTTATCAGCTCCATTCTTCCAGGTTCTACCACCTCTAGAGCAGTAAACACTTCCATAAATAGACGTACAAGAATTTCAAGGTTTTTGTTGTTGTTGCTCTTGTTTGTTTGCTTTTAATCTAGCCTATATAACCCTTTGAAAAACTCATTCCTGTAGCTATCATTTCAGTGACTCCAAAGTTTCAGATGTTCTGTAGTCTTCTTTCAATTTCTACTACACTCTACAATTAAATCCTGTCCTCCATATCTAAGCTACAACCTACACACTGCAGGATATGGTGTTATAGACAAAAGATGGCATGGAGGCTTCTAGTTTCCATGAATTGATTCCAATTTTTCATTAGTAGATCTGAGCCTCTCACTTTCAGAGATCAATTAATAGCAAGCACACAGCAAGGACATCAAGTTCTACTATTATTGTGACTGTGATCTCTACTGTTCCTCTTGGTCCTTGGGGACAGCACAGGGCTAGTGCAACCTCTTCATGATTTATCCCATTCAGGCCCATCACATTGGAAGCCTTAGCAATTACTTTGCAATATGACTGTCAACATTACACTTCAAGCCAGTCATGAGATCTTATCATCCAGAAATCACATCCCCAGAGATATATTCCTAGTATGATTATTGTTGGGCAATACTTGCTGTAAACCAAGTATTCTACAAGTAGTCTGTGATACGATCATATTTTTTTCAGATGCTATATTAAGAAAACACTTTCAGGAAATAGAAAAAAAGCAGTAAAAACAATATAGGTCAGGAGAAACCTGCAAACAATAATGGCATGTCAGGTAGAGATTAGTTTTGGCCTGATCTCATGTTATAGCTACAGTGCAAAATTGCTAACTTTCAACAAATTACCTTGAACCTTATGGGAATCAGTCACCAGCGAAAGTCAGCCATTAAATGTAACTTTCTAGTGAGGTGGGTGACATAGGGATGAAGGCATTGTTTTGAAGAAGGAGACAGATATCAGACATGCTTTATCAAGCACAAGTCTCAGTAGTTAGATATGTACCAGTTCAGGAGACCTAGAAATAACAATTTCAACAACTTGAAGTATGTAAAATTAAGATGATAAATTACTGAAGTTTGACTTTTGGTAAGCATATGGCAAATACATTTACAAATACATGAAATGGCTTGATTTTGAAATCCGTATAGTTTTTAATAAAGGTGAGATGAATTCACAGAACAAGAGATAAGGAAGAACATGTAGAGACTTAACATCCTAATGGCAGTGCCACTGTTAATTTTCCACATCCTATTTGTGAGTTGTATATCTTTTTCTTGAAGGAAAATGCATTTAA